TTAATATATTAATATAAGGTACAGTATGTATTTATGTATATTATGTAATTTTAAAATACATATTGCGCGAAAAGGAGCCACTAAAATGTAATCTACACAACAATGTTAAAGTACAAGTAAATTTATTGTTAAATAACTAATATAAAAAAAAATAAATTCAATGATTGTACCTATTTTAAATTTGCTACAATCTTCTATATAAATATAATTTGAGAACTTGAAAAAAGTGTTTGAAAGGGAATCTGACATCTTCATGACAAATTATTACGCTGATCGACCAATGCATTCTACCGCGATTTCCGCACGCGATTCGTGGACCGGTCGGTGCTTACGCACGTTCCGAAAATTCGCGCGCGGCTTTTCAAGCGCATAAAATTGATTAGGCTTATACGCTGCTCGACGCGATAATAAAGCGATTGTCCCGATTAGATGAGTAATCCGCCTGTTAAACGGTATGCGCGAAGGGGAGCTTGACTCATGCGGGCCGACCGATACGTCGAATGAAGAATTTGTTCTCCAGGAACTGGTTCGTTCATATTTAGCAATATATTTATGTTCATAAGGCAAATCGCTTATAAGATCATGCTGGAAATCATGTTCTTCCGTAATACTACAAATTTATTTCAAGGATAATTAATTTCATTTGAAAATAAAATTTATTTCTCTTTTACAAATTATATATTTAAAAAATTCTATAAAGTTCCCTTACTTCAAAAGTGACACAAAATGATTAAAAACAGTTAAGCTTTTCAGAAAAGGGGAAAAATCATTTTTCAACTTGACAGAAAATTATTGACTAATCAAAAAATATTAGCAAAAAGAATATATTTTATCATAATTGATTTTGTCATTTTATATTTTATCTTGAAAAATCACCCTTCTGTTGTATAACAATTTTTTATAAGGTTTATATAAATATACATTAGTTTATATAAAAAAATAGGCTCGTGTACATGCAACGCAATATAATTAATAAGTCAAGGCTTTTTTAAACGAACAATTATGGTTATTCATAAAATAAAAATCGTTTTTTAATTAAAGAAGTACAATGCTATAAAATTTTTCAAACGTTTCGACTTACAAAGTCTTTCTCAATGTATAATACATAACAACATTTTTAAATAACCTCTTACAAAAGCAACAAAATTTACAATAATATAATAATAAAAATTATCGCCCTAGGTTAATTAATCTTACATATTTATTTATTTCTTCCTTTAAATGTCACAGATCGAAATAAGTATCTAGTTAGAAGTTTAAAGTCTGAATTATAAAAGTGTATTTTATTAATCCTCGATTGTTATCGAGAATCCAGCTCAGTCAATAATTTTATAAAAAACGACAGTCCGATTTTGTAAGACTATCCTAATATATTCTGTGTAATGAATGTGCAATTTATAAGTTAAATGATTAGTATAAATTAATTGAATAATAATGAAAAATTATGTTTAAATTTACGTTAATTTATATAAAATAATCTATTGAATTAAAATCAAAGTCAGTAACTGTGTCATCGTGTGTAAGAAAACAACTCTTGCTCAGACGTTTTAAAATGGACTCATTATATTATAGGTCAGAGAATATATATGTCGTTAAGTCATAACATAAATAAGTATGTTTGAAAATGTTACAAACCTAATTAGCATATGTCGTCAAGTACGTTAAAATTAGATCGATCCACAACTCAATATCCTTAGATTTATTCCTTTTTTTTTAATCTTTTATGTGAATCATTTCCGAAATGGTTCTTCTTCGAAAATTTCTCGTGATCTAAAATTTCTACAATACATTATCTCAGTCAAAGCTGTGATTCGAATCAAAATAATAAAATTATTAAAAAATTATAATATTATATAAAATTATAATAAAATTATAATAAAATTATTATAGACTAGTATCACAAAAAAACATTTTCAGATAGAAACTTTTCTTATTGCATTGAAAAGCGTAATCCACGACATAATTAACACATATAACGGAGTCGCGAAGGTGATATAGTTAGTGACACGAGCGGCGGGCTTTCCCGCGCGCTGTTATTATTACGAATACGATAGAAGCTGAACTTTCGACATACGCAGCTGTCTGTTAGACATATAGAATGCGCCTAGGAAGTTTTCAATAAACCGGACAATCTACTGTGCACCATGGCCGCGATAAACTGACAGCGTCCCGCGCTGTTATAATAGAGCGCAGCCTCTTCATCGCGGCTACGCGACAGTAACATCTCGTCTTGTGGTTATATTTTCGCGGTATCTCTCTACCTTCGCGTTGCATCCACAAGTTTTCAGATTGTATCCGCGCGATGTTTCTTCAAGTGTAAAACACGAGCACGAATAAACCAGGGCAATAATATAGAAAAGCTTGTTTAGGCAATGTTTTGAAGATAAAATCAAATTCGCACTGAAAGAATCAGAACATAAAATTTTATTACGAGAGAGACAGACCTCAATTTTAAAAGAGGGATAAGAAATAATTTTACTTAAATTTAATAGTTGATTTCAATCTGCTTTTTAGATTGTTAAAATTTATCAAACTATTATTATTACTTAATAAAGGAGAAAAAGTCTTATTAAGAACGCTATTGCGATTACAGATTGGCTGCTGCAGCAAACTATTACAGTCAATTTTTGGTTGCGGCAGCCAATTTTTGATTACCTTAGCCTATTCGCAATGTCAGTATAGGATTTCAAGAGGCTAACACAATCAAAAATTGACTGCTGCAACCAATTAAAAATGCTACACCATTTTACGATCTAATTTGCTGCAGCAGCCAATCCTTTTTTCCAGTATAGCCAATCCTTATAAACATCTTTATCGTTTCTGATTCTTTTGAATTTATGCGAGATGACCTTTTATAGGTGAATATTCATGTTTAAAGAAGTAGTTAATGCTCTTTAACCTTTCATAAAAGTTACAAAAAATTAATCCGGCGGTTCTCTCTCTCTCTCTCTCTCTCTCTCTCTCTCTCTCTCTTTCTCTCTCTCTCTCTCCTTCTGTCTCATATTTGCGCACGATAGGCTTGTTAACGAGCGGATTGATCGATTGTTTTGTACGAGATAATTGTCGGTTGTGCTTAACAAGCAAATGTGCGCACAAGGCGCACGTAACGTGAAGAACGCAAAATATACCTTCTAATCTCATTATTTCGAAATTACGCGGTTGCCAATCTCACGACGCGTTCGGCACACACACGACGCGATGGATTTTATCCATCTCGACGTCCGGATGCCTCCAGGTCCCAAATTAGTCTCTAATTAATCCATGTCAAAGAAAATTGATCGCGACAAATCTCCGTCTGTGGTCGATAGATAAATATTCATGAGCCGCGTGATCCATGACTTCGCTCGAAAGAGACTCCGTGCTACATTTTTAGATATCAAAGAAGCAAGAGTAACTCAATCCCTTGAGTTAAATGACATTTTGTTATTTTTTACTCATGTGTCTCAAAATGTAAATCAATCCATTTCTATAATTATAGTTTTAAAGTAAACAACGTCCACATTATTTATATACTAAGTATACACTTAGTAAATTATATCTAAAATAAATGTGAATCAAATTTAATAAATTTTTCGAGTTAAATTGTTTAATTTCATTGT